CCTTGAGAATTCTTGGTTCGGGCTGGTTTGTTCACATTCCCCACCTCTGATTCACGAATCCCATTGGTTGTTTTGCCAACATCCCACCTTGGTTCCCGCTCCCTACTGGTTTCATCGCAAATAAAGACAAGTGTTTCAGGCCCACGCTTATTCCCTCACAAACACCCTAACCTACCGCATGGCTGCCATCGGCTTCCACACAACACCAGCCCATGGTTTCTGGTTCCCACTAGTCCTTTCACAAACACCGTGTCCCGGTGCACGGTTCGCCTGATTCGTTTGCAAAATAAAATTTCGTGCCATGGCTTGGCTTGGCTTGAAAAGTTCATTCAGGAAACACTACGTCCCAGTCTCCACCTCTCACTGGTTAATTTGTAAAAAATTAGCTCGTGTTATTACTTGAGGGGTATCTTCTATTCAATGCATTTCTTTCGAAATAAGGGATACCTTGCACATTCACAATCAATTTTTACAAGTACAATATGCACAACATAAGTGTACTGAGTAATAACCACTGGTTTCTGATCGTCATTGCAGGTAAGATCTAGGTTCTTCCCAGTTTCCCTTGACTTTGTGCTGGATCTTGGTTATTGTTACTTCGTCAGCATACTTCCAGGCCCGATCTGGGTTCTTAATCGACTTTTAGCCTTATACCACGCTGGCTCTTATTCCGCGGCAAAACCCTAGGTTGAATCTTGGTCTTGGTCTTGCTGGATCCCGTTGCATATTCAGATCCGGACGCTGGTTCTTGCTGGATCTCCTGGCTTGTTGTCAGCCTGACTCCTGGTTCTTGTTGGTTTTCTCGACAAAATGCAGTGCTGGATTCGTCGCGTAGTTCCCTTTGTGGACCATATATGGGGGTGAAGTCGACAAAACGCAATAAAATATTTAGATCCAGCGTAGCTGCCTTTCTTGATGAAAGCTCGTGAGGACCCTTTGAAGCGCACAGAGTGACAGGAAACAATGCATGACGTCGCAGCACCATCTATCGGCCGCCGTTAGTGGCGCCATCTTTGCTCCTGAGCGGTGCAGGAGTGCCATCGCGGCAAGAATTCTCAGTAAAAATGTTTAGATAGGGATAAACACATCGGGTGATCTGGGCCGGGGGGGGGGGCGTCTAAGGTTTGTTGAATTACTGGACAGCTCTGACGAAAACGACACATGATTGCAATCACTGAGCGATTGTGCACGCAGGCGACTACGTTGTAGTAAGGGCTTTCCTATCATACATAATCAATAATACATTATAAGAATATACTCTTCTATCATGAAAAGGACCCATGTTATCAAAGGGCTGTTAGTGGCCGATCACTGGGGTCTCCTGCCAGTGCCTACCGTTTGGGGTGTCAATCTCTGTAAATAATTGGGGCATGGGGGCGGGCAGAGGTCCCAACGACCGAACCTCCCACCCCCGCCATTTTTCATAATAAACTTAGCCCACCTTATTGACGGCAGGCAATATAATCAAACGTTTACTTTAAGAGGTATAGTAATCATGCAAGGGCGGATCTGGAGGGCGGGGAGCACTGGAGGCACGTGCTCCCTCTGGGCGAAAGTCATGAGGCCTCCTCAGGGCGCCGAAGGCATTCTTCTATGGCAGCCTTAGGAGACGGCACGTATTTTTCATTGCAGACTGGGGACGGGGATTGGGATCATCATCACCCCATTGTTTTACTCTGGAACACACTTCACAAAAAGTCTATTGCCCTCTGCCCTTTTTGTGGTACAACCAGCTAGAAGGCACATCACCAGCTATAGACTGTCTCGTCCCGCAATGTACTTTAATCCATCTCGAAAGCTCAGCTGGTTAGAGCGGTCGCCTTCCTTCTCGCACACCTGCGGCCAGTTGAGTTCGAGCAGCTTGAGGTGCCCGCTATGTGACCCCGACTGGGACAGCGTGCGGCCGGTGGTAGCGGCGACGCCAACAGCGAGGTGATGCCAGGACGGTGAACTGGGCCCGTGCCGAGCCTGGCATGGTAAGGCAAGCTTTCGCCTCAGAGTTCTGACATTAACTCGGGATTTCACGATCGGGTCAGGATTCAACAAACAAGCACTGCTTAGCGTAGGCGCTCGTCCCAGAAATGCATCCAATCGAAAGCCGTGGACTGATTTTAACGCAGATTCATGACCGCCCCAATGATACCGCCTTGCAGTTTAGAGTGCTCCGTGGCCACTACGAAAGCGGTCCTGGCATCACGAATGGGCAGGACGGTGTGTTATAACCTAATCCCCAGTCGTGGAAATGTAGACGTGCTAAAGTATCCCTTCTTCTCTGTTCGAACGGACACGCGGAGCGCTGAGCGATGTATCCCGATTGTGTGCAAGCTGTCGGTTTAATAAAACATCGGGTTAGCGAGGAAGCCCTATGAAGGCGAAATAAACAGACTGTGTCTATGTGAACGTGTTGTTTACAAGGTGGCCAGGTAAAACTCATTTTACTTTTGCTCACCAGTGACGAGCGTATACCACGCACAACCGAGGCTAGGGTGGAAAACCTTTCGGGCGCATGGAAAAATCAGCGGAAGAATATTGACAAAAGTGCCCCAGCTCGCTAGCATGAAATGCCTCAGCAACAGCGCAGGACCCTGTGAGCAAATGCAAAACTTCGGGGGAACGTAAAGGTTCCTTACCGGTCGCGTTGACCTTGCAAGTGGATATATAGGGTGCCCGGAAACAGCGTAGGGTCTCTGGACAGCGTCATGAGCCTTAAAACCTCCCCGATCACCACCCTCTCAATCCGTGAAGAACAGTCTATGTCTGCTCGTGGGTCCCTCACTTTCGCTTGCGATTGTTCTTGGTGTATAGAGGGCCAAAGACGACCAATTAGTTACGTTTTGTGTAAAAAAACTGCGTCTGTTCCGCCGACGATGGGCCGTTCCGGAGCCTATGGACTCTCTCGGGGCACAAGAGGGGAGGGGGGGGGGGGCATGGACCCGTTGCTCCGTCCCCCTCTGCATCCGCCCCTGCGCTAATTACGACTGTAGATACCTAACAGTTAAAATGTAATCAGTGTCAAAAGCGGGAGCGCACATGCGTGGTCTCTTGAAGAAATGCGGCCTGAATGTCGGGCTTCCCTCTCACCATTAAGAAGTAAGAAGTTTGCAGGAAGGTGCGTAGGCCGTTACTGGTATCGCGAGCCGGTCAGGTGGAATTAATGGCAAGCATGAGCTTATGCTTTGTGAACTTATATTCAGCAAATCCGGCAAAATCTAATCAACGTGGGAAATGAGAGCGCTTATGCAGAGGACACGGGTGCTTTGGAGAGGGATAAGTTCCTAGCTTTCTTAAAAAGTTAGAATTTGCCTCCATTGGCCTTGAGTAACCGTTCCCTCACCGCCAAATTTGCGGAACTTCCGTTGCCCTTGCGCATATGCGGGAGCCGGCTATCACCCTACGCTGAACAACGGTCGTTAATTCGTTTTTTACCGGGCTAGGTGGCAAAGTGTTACGGGGAGTTATAGATTGATCAGCGGGGAACCAGGAAAGCCGATCTTTTGTTACGAGGCACGCATGTTTGCGCGGAAGACCGACCAAGTGGCGACCGACGCCAGAACACAGCCAGTCATGAGCCAGGTTCTCACAGACGCGCGTGTTGCCCATTGTTTGTTTGTTTGTTTGGAGGTGCTGTCTATTTATTTTTCCATGTTGCCCCTTTGTTTGGACGTGCTGCCCAAAAAGCTTTGCTCAGGGGTGGATTAAATGCAGTGATTGGAGCACACCGCCACTCGTATGAAACACAAAGGGGTTTACCAGCTGTACAGTTAAAGTCGTTCTGACTAAAAAAAAACTTACATCGGATGACTGAATATCGTGGCTCTGTACCCCCGTCTGGCTGTTCATAGTTCTTCTTGCGCACAACTTTGACGTTCGAGCACCGCCAGCTACTTAGATAGGTACAGACCGAGCACGACGGAATGTAGATAGACACGGACCGATCACAGCGCATCTGGCGCTTCTAGCGAAAAAAAATTAACTGCCGCAGACAACAGACTCGCCGCGCTCGTCACCAACCCGTGGTCGTACCAGCGGCGGTACGACCACGGGGTGCGAGGCCTTGTAAGATCAAGGTGCATTGTAATGGCTTGCTACTTAAGGTTACCAGATACAGAATACTCGTCGCTTAATGTCTGGTTGATTTTTTTCGAAGGTTTACTGCCTGCTCATTTTAGCTGGAAAAGGGCCAAGCTACATCGTAGGTACGTCACCATACTCGTCCCTAAAATTTACGAAATCGGCTCGCTAGTCATTTGGATCTGCCACTTACAGATTGTTTCTTATAGGTACGAAGGCAGTCCGATGTCCCTGTCGCCCTATGGAGAGTATGCCTCGTATGTAAGTTTTCACTTTGCAGGCGATTGCATTTTGATGATTAAGTGCTCAGGTTTGTAAAGCATGCTCGCTTCAAAATTATACGTCAACGGGCCATCGGTTATATGCGCATGACGCTGACGAATTTTCTTCTTCTTCGGTGCGAATATCTCAATGTTCCTGCTGTTCCTCAGCATTACGTCCGGCGCCTAGCGGCCCCCCGCGCTTTGAAGTCCGAGCGCGTCTGTCCCGGCTGCTAAACTGGTTGGAGCGTCTGCCTTCCGATCCACCCACCACCTGTGGCGGGCTGGGTTCGAGTCGCTTTAGGCGCTCGCTAACTGCTCTTGACGGGTGTTGCCTGTGGCCGGCACCAGCTGTCGCGCTTAAGATCAGTTCACGTCAGAGGGCAGGACGGACCCTGGCGAGCATTGTGGCACGTTAAACTTCCGCCACTAAATTCTGCCGCTGCTTGGAATTGCACGACCAGATAGTGGAGGTCAGGGCTCGCACAGCAAGTAATGATTAAAGTGAGACCACATCCCAGGAATTGATCCATTCAAAGTACTCAGATTAAATCTTTAAAACAGTTTTGGTACCAGTGACGTCACGCTAACGTTTGGCGAATATGAGTCCAGAATCACCGTGCGGTTTTACCGCTATAAGACCTTGATCCATTATAATAATATTTGAGTCGAGCTGCCTTGATTATGAGGGGAGCCGGTTGTCGTTAGTTGGAGCCACTTGGTACGGACAGGTAAAAAGACTTACTGGAAGTATTTATGCCCAACAGTCCACGCAGTCCGTGATATAGCTTCTGCTCATACACATTTGACTAGTTACCGGATGCCGCTCTTGTGTCTGGTACGCTGGCTATTATCAGAACATTTGCCTTTTTGAACCAGTCAAGGAATAGCCCTCCGACGGATTCAAAAAGAGGGATGTGCTGATAATGATCATGACTGAGAAGGTGCAGGGACATGCAGACTGGGTATCAGTGAAAACTCGGGAACTCAGATTTGTCTTCAGTGTATGTGGGCTTGTTAAGTGCTGGAAAGTTCTAATTTGTGAAGACTCAGTTTCTCAGTCAAAGAGTTTTTCAAGTTAGTTGTATGTTGATGAATAAAATCACTTACCTGAGGCAGTTCACAGCTTGAAAGCTATCTCCAGGTCTGCCCTTCAAGTTTACAGTAACACTGGAAGATAAGCTGTTGCTGTCCTTTTTCTTTTTCCCTCTCCCAACAGATATACTCCCACAAAATTATGGTTTGTGGGGTTGGAACCAACTTATAGTTGCATAAAGCATCAACATTACATCTTTGTAATATAACACATTATATTTATGCATAAATCATTATTATCACATTAGGAAACCCACATCATGCCAAAATGGCAGCATTCTGATATTTGATCATATGTGGCATTCATTACCCACAATTTACATGAAGTATTATGCATGTTAATTCCATTGAAGTCTGCCTTGCTCTCCTACATATCAGAACAATGTGGTTGGAACTACAAGAGCTGCATTTCAATGGTGATTTTGTAATTTGTCTCACTAAGGCTCATGGCAAACACCATCACTAGCATGTATATACAATTAAGATCTGGAAGTGTTTGACACAGAATGTTTTTTATTATAGCAGATATTTATGCTTAGATATGCTGCATTTGATGATTATTGCAACTAACAATATAAAATGCCCTGTTAGTTTTTGATGGCCACATGGTGAAAAAGGATATGCCAATATTTGGCATACATTACAGGATGAGCCCTGCAGGAAGGTACGCTTTTTACACAAATGTGTCATTCTGTGAACTTGTCAAGCTAGCTTGCCCTAGGTCTTCCATGGGTCAATCATAGAGCTTACTGGTAGCATGTGTCACTGCCTGCTGACTGTGTTTTAACAGTTACAACTGTGATTTTCATTCATGAAATGGGACTGTTCTTGTCTCATGGTAGTTTTTCCCCAATTAGTTAGCTCCTGTTCCAAATGTCAGCATGAGCTGGGTCTGTGTGGGTGCAGGATATTTCATAAACATGAAAGTTCAGTGCATTTTGTTTTGATCATTTTTCTCCATGAAGAGGACAGCTGTCAGTGACAATGAGCATTCATGTGACTAAGCAGCCTCAAGAATATGTTACCACAGATTGTTTTATGCCTCATTCATAGGAAGCAGTTTAACGTCACACCCTATTGAAGGAGATGGTACCACCATCTTATTCATCAGGGTGAAGCAGAGCGAGGGTGCTCTCAGTCAAGTCAGGGAGACCTCCTATCCCAACCTTACCTATAATTTCCAATCAAATTATGTGCACTGTTTTAGGACATTTTGGGTGTAAATAATTGGATGACACATATTGGCCTGCTGCAGCTTCCAGTTTTCCTAATTGCTCCCCTTTTGTGCTGGCTATGCTGCCTTTGTTGGTGCAACCCGCTATGCATCTGATGGGGCATTTAGATCACTGTGGGGTCTCCAGTCAACCAGTAAGGCCTTTTTGGTCATTTGGGCCTTCTTTATGACTGATTCAGTCCCATGCATGCCTTGAGGCTGTTCCTTTTGATATAGAACAGTCTTCCTCAGTCATATGAAGCCTCCCAGTGGGTTTGTTAGCCTCCTGAAATACAAAGGGAAGCATGTCTGTTTATCTCTCCCTCTTTGTCGGGATGGCAGGGGCCCGAGCGGCCGCCCGTTGCCCCCTGGCGACGCCACCCTGCCCTGTTATATTTCACTTTCCAGTTTGGCTCTACTGTTTCAGGTCAAGCCAGCCATCATGGATCACAAGCAAGAGGGGACAATGTCAGAAGGTGCAATTTTTCGCACCGCATTCTTCTACGTCTTCCTGATCCTGTTTGTGCCAGTGGCGGCGTTCTTCGCGTCGCGGACCGTTCTCTTCGAAGCTATGCTCGGCCTGGACACGTCCACGAGCACGCTGTACGCCGCCGTGGTGACTGTGATCGTGATTCACGCCGTGCTCGGCCTGTACGTGACCCGGGCGTTCAGCGAGGCCGAGAAGGTTGGCAAGAAGGACTAGCGCACCCTCACGCGCAGGCGGTGCGGACGGCGGGTGGCACGCGGGCATTCTGACGGCGGTCTACGGGGGAGGTCGCGAGAAGTGCTTGAGTGGACGGTCCGCCAGCCATACCCGAGCATATTGCTGGCGTGGCGTCACCATGTTCAGCATCAGTGGACTGGGAGATGCACGCCTGGATGTTGGCGCGCAAGCGAACACATGAGCAATGTTTTCCGTGCGTTGTTTACCCTTTTTGATTAGCGACACTAATTTGTCCGTAATGTATTGCCTGCTGTGATTGCAGAGCTGATTATCCAGCTGATCTGTTTTGCTCCGCTGATTTTAGAGCTCGTCCTGCAGCCTTGCGCATCGCGGCGCGGTGAAAGGACTAGCATAATGGAAAACTGAAAACATGCGCCGCTGTCAACTTTGCACTCGGAACGAACCCGGGATTCCTATGCATTGTCAAGGTTTCTCAACGGCCACAAAGAAAGTAATATGAAACCTTTTTTCGTCGAAATCCTCCGGGCAGCAATCAAATAACATTTGTACCTTATCATTTTGTTACCTGTGCGGTTTTTTGTGTGTCACGATTGTGGGTTGCGTCAGATGCGAATGTATTAATGAACTATGTACCTTGAAATGGTGAACTTTGCGTAGTGGGCTAGTTATCGTGGACTACCGCTGTATGAGAACATGAACGCAGTCATTTTCTGTGGGGTTGTGATGCTGCTCATGTAAACGCGGGAGCTTTTGCTGTGTCCAAACGCGCATTATTTGCGCAACATTGAACCATCAATGTTGTCTGCTGGTCATGATGCCTTGCTTACCAAGCACCATCAGCAAGGCTTTCTCGGACCGAGCGCGTCGGAAGCCGGACACCAGAAGAGGCACTGGCAAAGTCGTGAGATAAATCATAGTGACCTGGCGATAATGATGTACCAGTCACGCTATGAATGGATGAGAAAATTGCGATCCACACTTGTCCTGTCGGCCTGTACTCTATCGCCTGTGACGGGAAGTGTAAGATTCACCCTCGGAAAACGATATATGGGGTGGATGCTGTGACAAGTTATTGGAACATGGAGGCATGCAGAGAACGCGGGCGACTGTTTTAAAAATTTGCTTCTTGAAGAAATACCACTACATTATTGCCAATGCGTTTGTACTGGGGAACCGGTTTTTAGTGAACCATGAAGGTTTCAGGAGCATTAGTCATGTTGATGCTTCTTGCACTTGTATGTCTTGATCCCGAATGTCTTGGCTTACTGGTCTACACGGGTTCGCGCAAGATCGCGGTTGCCGCCGTGTGTGGTTATAATGGATTGATCAGGGACGGATCCAGGATTTCTTAGGAGGCGGGGGGTCATGCTTCACTGTCATAATTCACTTCCTTGGAACTTGGTGCCCCCTCACCTCGCGAAAGCCCCCGGATTTCGGCCGCCTCATCGCTGGAAATAATTCATTTTCTTTTTTATGACATTTGTCACAAATTTAGCTCTTTCCGCTATTCGATGGCCGCTGCTGTCTTGCCACGCTGTCGGCATGGGTCGACTAGCAGCATCTACATGGGTGGGTCGGTAGACGTCATCCGCGCTGGCCGGTATTTTTACCCACTTTGAAACATTTCTCTTAGTGCAAGTGCTACCAGGTCTGAGAGAATGCTCGGGTTCCTTTCTTTGTGCCGTTTGTACTCGCATCACTACTCCATAAGGCAATGGTCTAGTTTCCTACTGAGTTGGAGGGAGGAAACCCGTAGAAGTCATTGCGGCAGTCATCAGTACTGTCAAAATCCTGACTGACTGGAGCTTCCATGGCTGAGACAAAAGGCAGTTTGCGTGATCTTACGGCCCATTCAACAGTATATGGGGCATTACAAGTCAACTCAACACTAGGGTAACACTATGTGTGCAATCACATCATTAATCTGCATCACAACGTCTCGGGAAATGTAAATTATAACTGCGGATTGCAAAGAAGAAGTGCATACAGATGGAATCTCTATCCAAGGGCGGATTCAGAAGGAGGGGGCACAGGGCCATGCCCCCCCCCCCCCCCGTTGGGCCCCGAAGGGGCCATTGGCTCCGAGCGGGCCCCATACCGGGCCGAACAGGTGCAGTTTTTTAAACACAAAACGCAACAAAACTAGGCATCTCTGGACTTTCAAGCGACCAAGAACAGTTGTAAGCAAAAGTGAAGGGCTTATGAGAAGTCGCAAAAAATCCTCAATGATTGGAAAAGCTGTGAACTGGAAATTTTAAGCCTCGGTACACTGTCTAGGGGCCTCATGCTGTTTCCAGGGGACCTATGCCCACTTGCAGGATCATTTCGATTGTGAAGGAGCATTCCACGTTGCCCTCCATGTCTTTGCATTTGCTCGAGGCGCCCTGCACCGTTATTGAGGCCCTTCCTGTTAGCGTGCGGGGGCACTCTTATCAATCACGGGCCCTTCCATGGATTTTTCCATTCTCCAGAAAGGATCTGTGAGCTATAGCCGAGGTCTTATCTTAACCTGCCGAGATATTCTCGGCTGCTCAGGGGCTCTTTACGTGGGTTTCGGTCGATCTACTCACACACGTGCGATATGCTCATGAGTCCTCTACAGTGGTCTAGGGCGTTTCCAATTCTCTGTCACTTGCTTGCTTAGAGCCCTATACTCTTGTCGGTGCACATCTGATGGCCTGCTTGGGCACACAGTCGTTCGGGGACCCTCCACACTGGGTCTTGGGTACTTCCCTTCTTAATGGGGGGCCTATCTGATAACCTGCTCGGGCTCATTCGATCGTTCGGGGGCCCTCTACATTGGGCCTTGGGCACGTGGTATTTGCATGGGGCCCTACACACTTGTCGGGGGCTCTTCTGTTCGCCGCCTCGTCCACACTGGATTGCTCGGGGGGCACTGCACATTGGTTCTTGGTGTTTGAATTTAGGGCTCTCTGCTCCTATCGGGGGTCACCTGATGACCTGTTCCGGTACACTCCATCTTTCGGGGCCTCCACAGCGGGTTTTTGGCGCTTCTTATTTGAATGGAGGGCCTTACGCTCTTGTCGGGGCCCCCTCTTATATGATCCTCGGGGCCCATTCGATTGTGGGGAACTTTACATCTGGTTTTGAGTGCTTCCTTTTTGAACGGAGGGCCCTCTGTTCTTTCCGGGTGCCCTATCTGCCAACCTGCTCTGGCGCACTCGATTATTCGGGGCCCACTGCATCGTGCCTTGAGTGATTCACATCTGAACGGAAGGTCCTGCGCTCTTGCCGGGGCCCCATCTGTTAACCTGCTCGGACCCGCTCAAAAATCCGGGGCCCTTCACATTGCGTCCTGGGTACTTCCCATCTCAATGGAGGGCCCTACGCACTTGTCGGGACCCCATCTGTTCGCCGCTTCAGCCACACTGGATTGTTCGGGAGCCCTATATATTGAGTCTTGGTATTTGATTTTCGGGCCCTACACTCCTGGCTGGACCACCTGATAATCTGCTCGGGTATACTCCATCTTTCGGGGCCCTCCGCACTGGGGTTTTGGTACTTCCTATTTCAATGGAGGGCCCGACGCTGTTGTCGGGCCCCTTCTGGTAAACTCCTCGGGCACATTCAGTCATTCTGGGGCCATTTACATAGGGTCTTCTGCGCTGCCCATTTGAATGAAGGACCTAACGCTCTTGTCGGGAGCCGTATTTGTTAGCCTGCTCGGGCACACGCGATCACTCGGGGGCCCTCTACAGTGGGTCTTGGGTACTCCTTTTCGAATGGAGGGCTCTACGCTCTTGACGGGGTCCCTATATGTTAACCCGCTCGGGCGCACTTAATCGTTTAGAACACTACACATTGCGTCGTGGGTATCTTATTTGAATGGATGGCCCTATGTCCTTGGCAGGCCCCTTCTGTTGAGCTACTCGGGCCGGCGGAGGATGCAGAGGGTTGGGGGGGGGGGGGAGGCACGGGACCATGCCCCCATGGACCATGCCGAGGTGACCCAAAGGCTCCAAAGGGGCTCATAATCGGCCGGACGGATGCGGTTTTCTTACAACAAAAACACAACAAAATTGGATGCTTTTGGGCCTACAGACGACCAAGAACCATGGTTAGCAGAACTAAAGAGTTCATGAGCAAACAAAGTTTATTCTTCGCTGATTGAGAAAATCTTGCTTGGGGGAAATTTTGGGGCATATACGCTGTCTAGGGGCATTGTGCTGTTGGTTGCCCGGCCCTATATGTCCGCTTGCCGGGTGAATCTGATCGCTAAAGAACTTTCCACGGTGCCCTTGATCTCTCTGTATTTTCTCATAAGGCCCAATGTGCTGCTTGGGACGCTATCTGTCTCCATGTCTGAGCACTGTTGATCGATCAGATTTTCTTCCACGGATTCTTTCCATTCGCCCGGAAGGTTCTATACACTTTTTTCGAGGGTCCCATATGCCAGGGCACACTTAGTTGCTCAGGGTCCCGTCATATTAGTTTCGGGTTCTTTCCTCTTGCTTGGAGGGACTTGTGCTCTTGCTACGTCTCTTATAAGGTAAGGCAAGGAGACACTTGATTGCTTAGGGGGCCCTGTACTTTGATCGAGGGCTCTCTCCCTTCGGTCTCATTTGCGGAGGACTCTTCACCCTTATCGATGCCGGTGTCGTTAACCTGCCCGTGCACTCTTGATCGCACAGGGGTATGAATTTATGGTCTTCGATAATTATCATTTGCTCAGATGGTCCTGTGCTATGGCCGGGGCCTCTAGATCAGTCTGCTGAGGCACTACTGATCGTTTAGGGGCCCACCACGTTGGTCTTGGGTTCTTTCTGGTTGCTCTGAGGACCCTATACTTGTTGAAGGGAGCCACTTTGTTGGCCTCCTACGGCACCCGTGATCGCTCATGTTCCGTCCCTATTGGCTTTGGTGCCTTCCTCTTAGAGCAGCAGTTGAATATGCGCCGGTGACTTTTTACGCGCAATTGCCGAACGTAATTTTACATTTCGCTGACGTCGTATGTGTCATTTCCATTGACTATTAAGTGTCACACTCATATATATATATATATATATATATATATATATATATATATATGTATATATATATATATATATACACATCTATATGCATAAATATAAATTGCATACGACTTGTCCTAAAACGTAATGACCGAAATGCAAGGATATCTTTTGGAGGGGGCTCCAA